GTCTGCGCTCTCTCCGTGGTGCCCCTTCCCCCACACGCTGCCGGTACATTCTGTTGCCTCAAGACTTGTGTTCAAGACTCGGTGCCTCCACTTAACTCGTACACCTCCCCCACTTTTAAAAAATGATGCTCATGAGAACAGCCCTCCCCCACCCCGGACACGGAACCGCTCGCAGCCTCTTTCTTGCTGACTTCCAGCTCTCTGGTCGAGGCTACCTCTTTAGCTGATCGGGCCCATGGCGTGTACCGTCTCACTACCCACGCCCACTACCCACGCCGTAACTTCCCAGAGGGTGCCCCGAGCATTGGTGTCCCTCGCGGTAATCTCATCGCTAGAGGGGCTTTCGAAGCCGCTCCATCTCTTCATTTCTTGCCACAGCCTGTCTACCACCCATTGTTTCCCCGACCTTCCTGAAGGCGGAGCAGAGAAGCTTATCCCCAGTACAACATACCTGGTGCCCAGACCCCCACTAGCTTCTTCTCGGAAAGGTCAGGGGGGATGTGGAAAGGATTCTGGTTCCCTCCCCGTAAGGCTGCGGGCTTTCGCTTTCACTTCCTTCAGCGAGTGCGGGCAGGTCTCCGGGTGCCAGGCGGTCATGGCGCTGCTGGAGGTGTGCGGAGCCCCCCGAGGGCTGTCGGAGGACCCGGCTTTGCCCCTTGCGGGAAGCCGGCACTGCTCGGACCCAGGACACTACAGTTTCTCTATGCGGTCTCCGGAGCTCGCCCTCCCGCGGGGAATGCAGGTCAGGGCTGTCAGAGAACCCTGGGGGAGGCACGGCGAGGGCGCGGAGGAACGAAGGGTCTGCCTGGGGCGGCCCAGAGGCGGGGAGACGCAGAGGGGGCCACCCTTGAGCCTTGGAGAGCCACGTCCAAGGAAGGGGCCACGTGGGACTCGCGACTGACCATCTGAGGGTTAGAAGTGCGGGACCAGGACAAAGTTAGAGGTGGGTGGGTGCGCCCGTGGAAAGACAGGAGCACTTTCCTTCCCTGAGCGCATCACACACAAAGCGCGAAGCCTTTCTCACTTCATACAGGGACGGTGCATGCCGTGCTTTGGAAAAACCTATAAACTTGGGCGGTTAGCCTTGCCTTAAAAAGTCACTCACTGGGTGACTGGGATCAAGTCGCCCAGACTAGACTTTGGGCCTCTTCAGTAAAGTAGGGATAGCAGTAGTAAATGTGTTTTGTGAGGGTTAGATGACCTATTAAAATATTAAAGTCACCCTTAAAAGTTAGTTATGGTGGCATTTATTTTCTTTTGGAAAAGATTGGTGTCACGTGTCTCTTTCTTTTCCTCTCCCCGGGGCCATTTCCTTGTAGAGACGGGTTATTAACTATTCCATTTACTCATGGTTGAAGGATCTCTCTGTGTATCTCCTCACCAGAACACTCTCTAAGACCCTTTCTGGGAGCTTCGTGCATCAGAAGTTTTCATTGCCCTTTTCTCTGCCTCTTCTCTCTGACTAGCCCACTGAATTCTTCCAGTCTCTGGGTGGGAATGGAGAAAGGAACGTTCAGATTGAGATGGCCCATGGCACTACCACCCTCGCCTTCAAGTTCCAACATGGAGTGATTGTGGCTGTGGATTCTCGGGCTTCTGCTGGGAGTTACATTGGTGAGGCCCTGTCCCAGCAGGCTGACCCTGGGGAGCTGGGCCCTCTTCTCACCAGGGGCCCAACTTCTGCACCGAAGTGGAAGCAGATATTGAAGTAAGACACACAGGGAAAGTGTGGGCTCATTCTTGTTCTCTCAAAACTCCATCTTCTTCCAGACACCTTAAGGGTGAATAAGGTGATTGAGATTAACCCTTACCTGCTGGGCACCATGTCCGGCTGTGCAGCGGACTGTCAGTACTGGGAGCGGCTGCTGGCGAAGGAGTGCAGGTAAGGGGGGCCTTTCATGTCCCTTCTAAGGCTACTGGTCAATTCTGGATCCTGGATCCTCCAGACCACTAACCCCCCCCCCCCCCCCGAGCTAATGCAGAATATTAGTGCGAATGCAGGTTTGCTCAAAATAGCCTTTTGGTGTTAACCTTCCCCCAAATCTCACTTGGTGTTCTTATCAATAAGCCAGATAATTTGTCAATTATTTAGCACTGTCACCATCAATCCTGCTGGGGTGGTATCATTACTAGAATTTCTTTGTGGTTTAGATACTTTAAATCTCAGATCTCTTCCTAATTCTTGATCCTACAAAGCCATTCCCTTCAAATGCTTATCTCTTTAATTACTTCCTGCCCATCAAGCAGGCAGCTCACAGATCTCGCCTTCTGCCACCTCTAAGCCCTCTCCCCGCCCAACCCTGTCCTCACCCAGGCTGTACTACCTGAGAAATGGCGAGCGGATCTCAGTGTCAGCAGCCTCCAAACTGCTCTCCAACATGATGTGCCAGTACCGGGGCCTGGGCCTCTCCATGGGCAGCATGATCTGTGGCTGGGACAAGAAGGTGGGCTGTCATCCTTCACACTGCCCCCCTGGTGATGAGAGATCAGTTCCCCACTGTACATTCCCACTCCCTCCCCTACGAGGTATGCGGCGCATGGGGTGCTCTGTTATTGATACGAGGCTGTCCCTGTATATCCATGGCCATTTCTGGGTCCAGATGTTTCAAAAGCTTGTCCCTTTTGATACACTAGCTGATTTGAAGTTTATTCTACCCCCTTCCAAAGTTCTATGATTGTTTAAAAAAGTGCTGTCCTAGCTCAAATATTCTTGTGGTAAACTTTTCTTCTTTCGTCCATGTTTTATGATTCATACTTGAAACTGTGTGTGACCAGCAACTCCCTCTGTTTCCAACCTGGATCCTTCTTGCATCCATTAGGGTCCTGGACTCTACTACGTGGATGAAAATGGGACTCGGCTCTCAGGAAGCATGTTCTCCACTGGTAGTGGGAACAGCTATGCCTACGGGGTCATGGATAGTGGCTACCGGCCCGATCTTAGCCTCGAAGAGGCCTATGACCTGGGCCGCAGGGCTATTGTTCATGCCACCCACCGAGACAGCTATTCTGGAGGCGTTGTCAATAGTAAGACCAGTGCTCCCACTGGCAAGCCCTGGGTGGGGAAAGGGGATTTCACATTGGGAGACTGGGGGAGGTAGAGTGCAGGGAGGAGGTTTTCAGGGTTGGAAGAGGGACACTGAAGTCTCAGTAACAAAGGCTGTGGTGTGTGTGCTCTTGTCGGGGCCTGGAACATGACATCATTAACAAGAACTTGCTGAAGTGAAAGATGACTCCATGTTCTTTCTCATTCATCCACAGTGTACCACATGAAGGAAGATGGTTGGGTGAAGGTGGAGAGTACAGATGTCAGCGACCTGATGCACCAGTACCGGGAGGCCAGTCAGTAACAGTGGTGGCGGCTGGGCAGGCTTTGGAACCTGAGCCGGCTCACCGTCCAGGAGAAAGGGAGGCCCAACCTGAGCCCAGAGACAGAGAACCTGCATCCAGAGGGGTTGGAGCAATGTTTATCCTACACATGCTGCCTGTTTCAAAAAGCATCCCCCACCTCAACCATCTGGGTGCCCCCTACTAAGCACAATAAAGCAAAAACGGTTATAACAGCTTCTGTGTTGTGGCTGAGTGGGCTTGGTGGTTGGAACAGGAAATAAAGAAAAACGTTTCCTGAGAAGACAGACTCAAACCCCTACCTAAGAAGAAATGGGGCCTCACCAAATATTTCTCCTGGGTGTTCCTCCCACATCATCTCTTCAGGACCTCAGGAAGCCTGACCCTTGTTATCTGTGGACACTCATTTGCAATTTAATTCAGGTTAGGGCACCTAGAACAACTGTTTTTGAGTTCATAGAGTTAGATGAACAAGCTTCTACCTTGAATGTATGTGGTAAGTGTAAACATGGTACCATTGACCTCCAATAGCACTTTGGAGATACTGGATAGTGAATATAAATATAGACATTAGAGGTTCAGTTTCATGGTGTGTCACGCTTAATTGCAAGATGGCAGAACCGTGATTGAAGGGGAAGAGATAAAGAGGACACCCTCAAGTGGAGATTCTGAGGGAAAAGTAAGTTTAGAAAAATGAGAAAAATATTGAGATTTTTCTGTATTAGGCTGGAACATGGACAATTCACCTCTCAGGAGAGTTAGTAAAAGGAAGAACTTGAAAGTAGGAAGTAGCTGAGCATGAAGTTTTTTTCATTAGGGAGAGACCCTTAAATTCCCAGAATGGGCAGGGGTGGGGAAATTTTAGTAATCCCCCACTTTAAATTTCTCCCCTCCCCCATTATCTTCAATCTGAAGTGATTCACTGGTAGTCATTTCAATAACATTTGCAAAGGGGGATCCGGAATCCCAGTGATCACCTCTTTGTTTCAACCAGAAGAGTCATTTCTGGAATCAACAAACCTGCTGGCGCCATAGATAGGCTCTCCAGATCAGGCAGGACCTAGGGAACCTTGATGACCGTTCTAGTCAGTGTTAAACCAAACCAAGAAACCAAGTCTATTGCCTTGTGCGGAAGGTGCTCCAACGTAATTTGGAACACACGCCTAGTGGCCCCTGAACACCGGCTCTGCCCAAGGTGCTGCGTTGAGGGTGACTGAGGGTCAGGACCTTCTCATCAAATCTGTAAGTGGAAATCCTAGGCCCTGGCTGCTGACTTCTGCTTAGGAGACCCTATGTATTTTTCCGCTCAGAACTTGGCTGTTTTTACCCCAAGACCCTAAAACTGGAGTTTGGGTAGGGAGGAGGGCACTTTTCAAAACAGGTTCAAAGCTTAAGGTAGTTAGACATCGAGGTAAGAGAACCCAGCGCTTCTCGGGTTCTAGCTTTATTCTACTTCGTGACAATTTTTAAAAATTGCGATAGTTTTCTACTAGAGTAACAGTTGTTGCCAAGGACGAGATACTCAACAGGGTCTGGCAAGTGCCGGCAAGCGGTTAAGGCCTGCGTGCAGAGTCTGCGGGTGTCGCGCCCCACTCGTCCCCGCGCTGCGCACGTGGCCCAGCATCCCGCCCCGGCGGGAAGCGAAAGCGAAAGTGGTGGCGCGGGGACGCGCTCGCTGGGGAGCGCGGTGGGCGGACAGAAGAGGAAGGGAGGCTGAGACAGAGGGAGCGGGAGCCGGAGCTCAGTCCTCAGCGCTTCACTGGAAGACCTCCGGAGCTGCAGCCCCGGAGCAGCCGCCAGTGAGTTTGTGCGGATGGAAACCTGGAGTGTGCTACCAGGACACGTCCCAACCCGCCAGCACCCCGCGTCCATTGCCCCCTATACCCCTGGAACCCAGTGGTGGTGGGTGGAGGGAGGTGTAGGGGGCGGGGCAGGGACCGCCTGACATTTCCGAACTCCGCGCGGGCTGGTGGGGGAGGTGGGGGAGGTGTGGGGCGGGGCGCTGGAGGCCGCGGTGGGCCCGGCTCTCCCGCTCCCTCGGAAGGGCAGCGCGCCATCTGTCGGGAGAGGGATGTACTGATGAGCACGGGATACCTAGGGGAGCTTTCAGGATAGGATCAGCTAAGGCGAGAAAGCGATTCGGCGGAGTGGGAGTCGGGAGCATAGGGGCAAGGACCGGGCTTTCACCTCTATAATTTCTCACCTTCCATCCCATAGTCACACCATGCGGCTCCCTGACCTGAGACCTTGGGCCTCCCTGCTGCTGACGGACGCGGCTTTACTCTGGCTGCTTCGGGGGACTCTGGGGGCTCTGCTACCCCGAGGGCTTCCAGGCCTGTGGCTGGAGGGGACCCTGCGACTTGGAGGGCTGTGGTGCCTGCTGAAGCTGGGGGGACTGCTGGGATTCGTGGGGACACTGCTGCCCCCGCTCTGCCTGGGGACTCCCCTGTATGTCTCCCTGAGGGCCCTGACCCCCGGGGCCTTGAGTGCCCCCCCAGTCAGAGTAGCTTCAGCCCCATGGAGCTGGCTGCTGGTCGGGTGCGGGGCTGCAGCGCTAAGCTGGGCGGTGTGGGCCGTGCTGAGCCCTCCAGGAGCACCGGAGAGGGAGCAGGGCCAGGAAAACAGCAAAGCCTTGATGTGGCGGTTGCTGAGGCTCTCCAGGCCAGACCTGCCATTCCTCACCGCTGCCTTCTTCTTCCTTGTGGTTGCTGTGTTGGGTGAGTCAGGAGAAGGCTTTGGGAACTGGAGGTGGGAAAGGTGCTTGGCACCAGCATATTCATTTCTCAACCTGCTTGGTCTTTCAGGTGAGACATTAATCCCTTACTATTCTGGTCGAGTGATTGACATCCTGGGAGGTGATTTTGACCCCGAAGCCTTCACCAGCGCCATCTTTTTCATGTGTCTCTTCTCTGTTGGGAGGTAAGTGATGGGCGACTGGGTTATTTGCTAAGAGCCAAATCTTTACAGGGGCCCACACACTCCTAACTCTGTTTTCAGATGCTTTTGTGCACAAAGCACAAACTATTTAACACTAAAACATGCATGTATTTATTTATTCACCATTCTATTTCATGTATTCACTCTTTCACTTCTTCATTCTCCATTTTTGTTCACCATCTGTAAAGTTTACATTGCATTACTGTAGTACAAATACAGTGAATGCGGTACAAAAGGTGTTCATGTATCAAATGAAATGTTTCTCAGTGGCTTCTTAACATTTTTGTCTCCAGGAAATTCCAGTTCTCTTTTGTCTTCTACCTCCCACCTTAAGTTTGTTTCCAAAGTTATCCTCTTGTTAGGGTAGGCGTATTTCTTCCTTTGGCCTTCCCCCTGACTCTCCTGTGACTCTGTGAAGTTGTTCCCTGATGCATCTTTTCTCTTTTCCACTTCATTTGCTATTCCTCTCCTTTTAGACAGGAATCTGCTGTCAGCTACCTAACTAACTAAGGCTGGGACTGGGATGAGGTGAGTGAGGCACCTAGGATGCAAAATTCAAGGCATTGCTCACTCTCAGGGTCCTGCCAGTACCTCCCTGTCCTCCCCCTAGAACCTGATAGCTCTCCTTTTAGGGTCATACTTCATTCAGAGTGTCACAGAAACCAATTCTTCTTCATCGTGTCGTCATTTCATTCTTGCTACTTTTTGCTGAAACCAATTACCCAGAAGTTTGTATTAAAATTAAACTTAAAAAATAGGTCCTCAATTCTCTTTGTTTCTCTGTAGCATTTGGCACTAGAATAATCTCTTATTATTGATCTCTTTCTCAAGTTAGCATTTCTGAACTCCCTTTCTACTTCCCAACCTACTCTCCCTACTCAGGTGAGCTTTTCTCTTCTGGACCCTTAAACATGGACTTTTCTCATGACTCAGTCCTTTACCTTTAAGAACATTTTTCCTATTGAGGAAAATGTTCGTTTCTGTAGGTGACTCCAAAGTCCATATTTCCCTGCCCAGCTCTGGTCTTGTAATCCAGCTGCCTCTTTGAGAGCCCCATTGGACAGCCCACTCTCATCTCATGCTCCACATACCCAGAGCTCCAACTACATCACACTCCCTCCTGGTCTTCTTGGAAGTGGCTTCATCTCCTTATTCCCCTTTATGAGACCATCAGTATCCTACACTATAAGCACCAGCAACACCAATGCCTTTCTCATAGTCAAAACCAGCCCTGTCATTTCTGTTTCCAAAATGTTTCTCCTGTAGCTCCCTTCTTGTCATTCTTTTAAAAAACAATTTTAAAGGAGATTGTATTTACTTATATTTAGAGAGAGAAGAAGGGAAGGAGAAAGAGAGGGAGAGAAACAACAATGAGTGGTTGCCTCTTGTGCTCCCCTCACTGGGTACCTGACCCAGCAACCCAGGAATGTGCCCTGACTGGGAATCGAATCGGTGACCTTTTGGTTCGCAGGCTGCCACTCAATCTACTGAGTCATACCAGCCAGGGCCATTATTTTTATTTTTATTTTATTTTTCATTTTATTTATTGTTATTCAGTTACAGTTGTCCCACCTTTTTCCCCATTGCTCACCCCTACCTGGTCCCCATCCCACTCCCACAGTCAACTCCCACCCCCCGCCTCCGGCTGTTCATACCCATGAGTCCTCTCTTCCTGTTCTTCTGCTTGCCCCTTCCCCTTCTTTGTCCCGTTATTCCCCTTCCTCCTCCCCTCTAGTCACTGTCAGTTTGTTCTTAATTTTACTGTCTCGTACTCTGTTTTGATCACTTGTTTATTTTGTTGATTAGGTTCCACTTACAGGTGAGATCATATGTCATTTGTCTTTCACCACCTGGCTTATTTCACTCAGCATGATGTTCTCTAGATCCATTCATGCTGTCACAAAGGGTAGGAGCGCCTTCTTTCTTACTGCTGCATAGCATTCCATTGTGTAAATGTACCACAGTTTTTTTTGATCCACTCATTTACTGATGGGCCCTTACCCTCTTTCCAGCACTTGGCTGTTATAAATAATGCTGCTATGAACATTGGGGTGCATAGGTTCTTTTGAATTGGTGATTCAGGATTTTTGGGGTATAGTCCCAGCAGTGGGATCGTTGGACTGAAAGGCAGTTGCATCTTTAGTTTTTTGAGGAAATTCCATACTGTTTTCCACAGTGGCTGTACCAGTCTGAATTCCCACCAAAAATGTACTAGGGTTCCCTTCTCTCTACAAACTTGCCAGCGCTTGTTTGTTGATTTATTAATAATGGCCATTCTGACCAGTGTGAAGAGGTATCTCATGGTGGTTTTAATTTGCATCTCTCTAATGGTTAGTGATGCTAAGCATCTTTTCATGTGTCTCTGGGCCCTCTGTATGTCTTCCTAAGAGAAATGTCTGTTCAGGTCCTTTGCCCATTTTTTAATTGGATTGTTTGATTTCTTGGTGTGGAGTTGTGTGAGTTCTTTATACGTTTTGGAGATCAAACCCTTGTCTGAGGCATCATTGGCAAATATGTTTTCCAGTAGAGTGGGTTCCCTTTCCATTTTGTTGATGTTTTCTTAAGCCGCGCAGAAGCTTTTTAGTTTGATGCAGTTTCATTTGTTTAGTCCTTCCTTCCCTTGCCCTAGGGGATGTATTGGTGAAAATATTGCTTTGTGGGATATCTAAAATTTTCCTGCCTATGTTCTGTAGGACTTTTATGATGTCATGATTTATATTTGTCTTTTATCCATTTTGAATTTATTTTGGTGTATGGTATAAGTTGGTAGTTTAGTTTCATTTTTTTGCATGTACTTGTCCAAATCTCTCAACATCATTTATTAAAGAGGCTCTTTTTACTCCATTTTATGTTCCTGTCCCCTTTGTTAAATATTAAGTGACCATATTGACATGGCTTTATTTCTGGACTCTCTATGCTGTTCCATTGATCTATGTGTCTGTTCTTATGCCAGTACCAGACTATTTTGATTACAGTGGCCTTGTAATATAGTTTGATATCAGGTATTGTGATTCTTCCTGCTTTGTTCTTCTTTCTCAGAATTGCTGAGGCTATTCAGAATTGTTTATGGTTCCATATAAATTTTTGAAATATTTGTTCTATATCTGTGAAAAATGTCATTGGTATTTTGATAGAGATTGCCTTGAATTTATAGATTGCTTTGGGTAGTATGGGAATTTTAGTGATGTTCTTTCAGTCCATGAATATGTTAAATGCTTCCATTTATTTGTGTCTTTCTTAATTTCTTTCTTCAGTGTTATGTAGTTTTCTGAGTATAGGTCTTTTACCTCCTTGGTTAAGTTTATTCCTAAGTGTTTTATTTTTCTTGTTGCTATGGTAAATGGAATTTTTCCCCTAATTTCTGTTTCTGATGTTTCAGTGTTGGTGTACAAAAGTGCCTTCAATTTTCGAATTTTGACTTTGTATCCCACTGTTTTGCGAAATTCATTTATTAAGTTGAGTAGTTTTTTTGTGGAGTCTGTAGGGTTTTCTATGTACACTATCATGACATCTGCAAACAGTGACAGCTCTACTTCCTTCTTTCTAAATTGGATGCCTTTTATTTCTTTTTCTTGTCTGATTCCTGTGGCTAGAATTTCCAATACTACATTGAATAGAAGTGGTGAAAGCATACACCCATGTCTTATGCCTGACTTATGGAGAAAACTTTAAAATTTTGACTCTTGAGTATGATATTAGTTGTAGATTCCTCATATATGGCCTTTATTATTGTTGAAGTATGCTTCCTCTGTTCCTACTTTCTTGAGTGTTTTTTATCGTAAATGGGTGCTGTGCCTTATCAAATACTTTTTCAGCATCTGTTGATATGATCATGTGGTTTTTGTCTTTTGTATTATTTATGTGATGTATTGCATTTATTGATTTGTGAATATCGTACCATCCTTGCATCTCTGGGATGAATCCCACTTAATCTTGGTGTATGATTTTTTTAACGTATTGCTAGATTTGGTTTGCCAATATTTGTTGAGGATTTTATCATCTATTTTCTTCAGTGATGTTGGTCTGTAGTTTTCTTTCTTCATTGTGTCCTCTCTCTTCATTCTCATTTTGATCACCAAAGTCCACACCATCATTTTATCTCCTCATAGTCTTCTAAATATAGTAACTAGATTTGTATAAGAAACCTATATTTTATAAAATACCTGCTTCCATGTTTTCACATTTTTCCTTCACATTTTATTGTAAAAATCTGGTTGGTGTAAGAGGAGTTGTCCAGTTTCAGGGACTCCTCTAATGGGGAACAGCATGACCGGGGCTCAGGAGTTTGGTGGGGCAGAGTTTGTTGCTGTGGTTCACACAGTGAAGTACCTGAAGTATCCGAAGTGTCCAGGACTAGGAAGAAGGACTTTGAGGTTGGGGAGTAAAAGGACCAAGGCAGCAGGGACGCCTGGATGGAGGGCTAGCTGGGGGGGGGCCTTGTCAGCACTGCCTGTTTCTATTTACAGTGTCTTTCACTTCTATTGTATTTTCCCCTTGTGTCTAGCACAGAGTGAACTCCATAAATACTGGTGAGTTTGTCTGGGTTAGGGGTTAGGATTTTGTTCTCATGTAGAGCTCATCATGCCCTTTTTTCTTCCTTTGTTTGTTTCTGCCCCTCTTGCCACGCTCCCTCTCCTGTTTCTCTCCTTCTCATGGTATACTTCCCCCGACTTTGCATTTCTTTTCATTCTGTGCTTCCTCTTCTTTTCCCTCACTCTCTGTTCTCTATCCCCTTCATTCTCCTGTCCCCTCCCTACTCTGCAGCTCACTATCCGCAGGTTGCCGAGGAGGCTGCTTCACCTTCACCATGTCCAGAGTCAACTTGCGGATCCGAGAGCAGCTTTTCTCCTCCCTTCTGCGCCAGGACCTCGGTTTCTTCCAGGAGACCAAGACAGGTGGGACCTGGAGTCCAGGTGTGGGGTTCCCCTGCACCTGCACACAGCCTGTCCCTTCACCTGCACCTGTCTCTCTGCAAGTGAGGGAGGCTGCTCAGAGGAGGGGGCTGTGTCAGAGGGGAAGGTCTGGAGCGGATTTCTGAGGGTTTAGTTGCACAGGGTTTCCCTGTCTGCTATGTCTTGCCCAGGGGAGCTGAATTCACGGCTGAACTCCGATACCAAACTGATGAGCTCCTGGCTTCCTTTAAATGCCAATGTGCTCCTGCGAAGCCTGGTGAAAGTGCTGGGACTGTACGGCTTCATGTTCAGACTGTCACCTCGACTCACCCTCCTGTCTCTGCTCGATGTGCCTCTTGCGATAGCGGCTGAAAAGGTGTACAATGTCCGTCATCAGGTACATGTGGCTGTTAGGGAACCCCCAGAGAAGAATTGGTCCTGGAGATCTTCTCTTCTCAGCCCTTAGAGCAGTAGTTCTGACAGGCTTTAGAAGGTCCAGGACCCCTGGGGCCGTATGCAAGAGTGTGTGTGTGTGTGTGTGTGTGTGTGTGTGTGTGTGTGTGTGTGTTTGAGAGAAAGGGAAGGAAGGAGGAAGACACGTTTTTCCAGGGAGACGATAATTGTCATCAGGTTCTCAAAGGTGTTCGTACATACCTTCCCCACAAAAGCTTAAAAATGCCATCTTAGAGGGGTTTTAGATAGAGTTTTCCCCTTTATAATCAGATTATAAAGTTTTCCCCTTTATAGTCTTTCTCAGATTCTCCAATCAGAGAAAGTAGAACATGAAGTCAGTAGAACCTGAATCTGAATGTTACTCCACCTTCTCTCTTAAAAAAATTTGAGGTAAAAGGTTCATGATGTAAAATTTACCTTTGTAAGCTATTTTTCAAAGTGCCATTTCAGTGGCATTAAATACACTCACATTGTCGTACAACCACCATCACCATCCATCTGCAGAATTCTTTTCATCTTCCCAAGCTGACACTTGGTGCTCATTAAACAACTACTCCCCATTCCCTCTCGTCCAGCCCCTGGCAACCACCATTCTACTTTTTGTCTCTGTGAATTTGGTGACTTAAGTATCCTATAAATGGGTTCATACATACTTGTCTTTTTGTGACTGACATTTATTTAGCATAAGGTCTTCAAGGTTCATCCATGTGGTCGCATGTGTTAGAGTTTTTCTCCTCTTTAAGGCTGAATAATATTCCGTCAGTGCAGACAGCAGGTTTTGTTCACCCAGCCATCTGTCGACGTGCACTTGGCTTGCTCCCACCTTTTGGCTGTTGTGAATAATATTACTGTGAACATAAACACACAAGTATCTATTTGCATCCCTGTGTTCAATTCTGTGGGCGTGTACCCAGGGGTAGGATGGCTGGATTGCATGGTAACTTTATTTTTAATGTTTGGAGCACCACCGCGCAGTTTTCCACAGCGCTGCACCATTTTACATTCCCACCAGCTATGCACAGGGTTTGGTTCAATTTTTCCACATCCTTCTGCAACACTTACCTTCTGTGTTTTTTTATTCCATTTCTTGTACTTACTTATTTTTAACTGGAAGTTTGTACCTTTTGACCACCATCATCCAATTTTCCTATTGTCCACACTTGCCTTTGGTAACCACAAATCGATATCTTTTTCTTTCAATTGGGTGAATTTTTTTTTTTTTTTAGATTTCACTAATAAATGAGCTCACATGGTTTTTGTCTTTATCTGACTTATCTCACTGAGCATAATGTCATCAAGGTCCATGTTGCTACAAAAGGCAGGATTTCTATTTTTAAGGGCCTAATAATGTATATGTCACTTAAAATAAGCATCCTAATGATTGTGAGCTGATACCTCGTTGTGGCTTTGATGTTCATTTCCCTAGTGATGAGTGATGCTGAGCATCTTTTCAAATGCTTATTGGCCATTTTTATGTCTTTTTGGGAGAAATGTCTATTCAAGCCCATTGTTCATTTAAAAAAAATATTTATTTATCTTTAGAGGGGAAGGAGAGAGGGAGAGAAACATCAATGTATGGTTGCCTCTAGTGCTTCCCCTGCTGGGAAATAGCCTGCAGGGAACCGGCCTGCAACCCAGGCATGTGCCCTGACTGGGAATCGAACCGCGATCCTCTGGTTCCCAGGCCCACGCTCAATCCACTGAGCTACACCAGTCAGGGCCCGTTGTTTATTTTTAAATTGGGTTGTTTTTCAATTGTTGAGTTGTAGAAGTTCTTTATATATCTTATGTATTATCCCCTTAACAGCTATAAGCAAATGTTTTCCTGTTCTATGGATTTCCTTTTTGCTCTGTTGATAGAGCCCCTTTGACGCACAAAAGTTTTTAATTTTGATGAAGTCTAATTTCTTTTTATCTTGTTACCTCTGCTTTTAGTGTCATATTCAAGAAACATTTGCCAACTCGAGTGTCATGAAGCTTTCCCTCTGTTTTCTTCTAAGAGTTTTATAGTTTTAGTTTTCAGGGCTGGGTCTTTGATCCCTTTAAAGTTACATCTCCACCTTCTGTTAACCAGCTGTGGCTCCTTGGGGAACTGCTCTTTTCATTCAGACACAGGGGTGGTGTGAATTAGCTTTAATAAAGGCAAAAAGAAATACTGTGCATCTCCTACATTAACTAGCATTGAGAGTTCGGTGATAATTTGTTCCCTCCCTCCTTCACTCTCCTTACTCCTCCCGAAAATAAATGTGAGGAAGAGGGAAAGAAGTCAGTTTTCTGGTCTTAGGTAGATTGGGGAGCATCCACGGGCTGGAATGGAATGGAAGGTTCGCTGCCTTCTGCAGAGTGAAGCCATACATACATCTTCGCCCCGCTTTTCCAGGCGGTGCTTCTGGAGATCCAGGACGCGGTGGCGAAGGCCGGGCAGGTGGTGCGGGAGGCAGTTGGAGGGCTGCAGACGGTGCGCAGTTTTGGGGCTGAGGAGCAGGAAGTCTGTCGCTATGAGGAGGCCCTTGAAAGATGCCGGCAACTGTGGTGGCAACGAGACCTGGAACGAGCCCTTTACCTGCTCTTACGGAGGGTGAGAAGGCTGAGTGGCTGGGGGTGGGGGCAGGGGAGGGCCCAGGAAGAGGGCAGGGTCAGGAAGCCGAGAAAGCCGGGAAAGCTGGGGAAACCTCCAGGAAACCGTCCTAGGTTTCTGCTGCTCAGCTTGGTGGAGAGCAGGGAGGGGAAGGAATGGGAGGAGTCTTTCTCAGTCCCTCCTTTCTCGTCCTTTCCAGATGCTGCACCTGGGGATGCAGGTGCTGATGCTGAGCTGTGGGCTGCAGCAGATCCTGGCCGGGCACCTCACCCAGGGCGGCCTGCTCTCCTTTCTGCTCTTCCAGGAGGACGCAGGTAGTTATGTGCGGGTGAGTTGGGAGCCTGTGCGTGCTCTCTTTGTCCCTGTTTTTCTCTCTGGCATCTGGGCCTTGGGCTTTATTGATTTCATTTAAAAGTATAAAACAAACACCAGCTGGTGTGGGTCAATGGGTAGGGCAGCCTCCCTTAAACCAAAATGTTGTTGGTTTGTTCCTAGTCAGGGCACGTGCGTGGGCTGCAGGCTGGGTCCCATCCCCTGTCGCTGGCTGGGGGCTTGCAGGAGGCGGCCTGTGGGCAGCTCGATGGTGTTTCTCTCGCACTCCGATGTTTCTTTTCCTCTCTTTCTCCCTCCCGTCCCCTCTCTCTAAAAATAAAGAAAATCTTTAAAAAATGCAAAATGCCAGCTCACGGTGTTGTGAAGAGTTTAAAACATGCAAAAAAGGAAAAAAAGAGACAAACTATAATGAATCTGCATGTACCTGCTTTGATAATTACCAATTCATGGCCAATCTGCTTTCATTTGTACCCTCACCCTCTTCCCTCCCACCCATATTATTTGGAAGAAAATACCGGGTATAATTTCACCTGTAAATATTGTATTTAAAAAATGTAAACATTAAAAATATAACCATGAAGCCATTATCACACCTGAAAAGTTAACAAGTTCCTAAAAATTCATCAAATAGGGTCAAATTTCCACTTGTCTCATACATGCAATACAAGTATGTACTGCATTGATCTCTTTCTTGTGTGTGTCTGGTGGCATCAGCCACGGCGCCCAATGAACTTACTAAGATCCATGAACTTACTAAGGCTGCAAAAATGGCTGGACCCTACCAACCCTCATCTACTGCTTGGTTATCCACTCATGCGGTTGGACTAGGAAAGGCAGAATGAGCATTCGGCTGTTCCTCTATATTTACCAGGTTTCAGTATAGTTGGTTACATCTATTGCATAAATTTCCCAGACATTTGTTAAACATCTCCTGTGTGTAGAGAACTGTGGGAGGCACCTGCCTTTAAGGACTTCCCCATCTCCTCAGGGAGGCTGGGCCTGTGCCCTGGGAACTCAGAACAGTGACTGAGAAGGTCGGGGGTCAAAGTCACACTGTGCGGGGAGGGTACCATGCAGTCGGGATGGGGTGGCAGGGTGTTGGTGCTACTTTTAAATGTCATCCAAACTGCACATTTGAGAGTGGAGAGTCTTTCTGGATGAGGGGAAGTGTGGCTGGGGTGAGGTGTGGCAGACATGTGTGAGCAGTGGGGAAGTTGGTTCCTGGTGGAGCTGTGCTGGGTTAGTTGACCCTCCACTCTGTTTTCCAGACCCTGGTGCACATGTGCGGGGACATGCTGAGCAACGTCGGGGCTGCCGAGAAGGTTTTCCGCTACTTGGACCGGCAGCCAAACCTGCCTCCACCGGGGACTCTAGAACCTCCCACTGTGCAGGGGCTGGTGGAATTCCACGATGTCTCCTTTGCCTATCCCACCCGCCCTGACCGGCCTGTGCTCAAGGTGCCTGGAAGAGGCCAGGGGAGGAAACAGGAGCCCTCACTCCCTGCTGCTTACCTGTGACCAGGCATCAGATCCTGTAGATCAGTTGCTTCTGAGAAGCTGATGTTACCTCTGATAGGAGGAGAAGGGGAGGGGGCCTGAGGGAGGAGAGGGAGGTCCCTTACTCTTTCCTGGCTTTTCTAGGGGCTGTCGTTCACCCTGCGTCCCGGTGAGGTGACGGCACTGGTGGGGCCCAATGGGTCTGGGAAGAGCACAGTGGCTGCCCTGCTGCAGAACCTGTACCAGCCCACTGGGGGGAAGCTGCTGCTGGATGGGAAGCCCCTGTCCCAATATGAACACCGGTACCTGCACCGACAGGTGAGTGGTGAGGAAGAAGGACAGGAGAGAGGAGAGAAGAAGCAAGTGCAGAGAGCACGGGAAATCCGTGGGCGGAGACTCAGAGTCCATTCTGGAGGAGGTAGAGGAAGAGGTAGGAAAGGAGGCCAGGAGGACCTTGCTGAGGGGGTTCACATACTGTCCCCTGCTCTTGTTCCCTGCACAGGTGGCCCTGGTTGGACAGGAGCCTGTGCTGTTCTCAGGTTCTGTGAGGGACAACATTGCTTACGGGCTGACGGGCTGCAGTGACGAGCAGGTGATGGCAGCTGCCCGGGCGGCCCGAGCAGATGAGTTCATTGACGAGATGGAGCATGGGCTACATACAGGTACCTCTGTTAAAGCAGAAACGAGCTTATTCCTGGGTGAGGGTTGTGTCCCTGTAACTCCGTGTGTGCTGTTCCCTCACCCTTTCCTCGGCTCCCAGTGCCTCCCTCCCCAACACCAGGAGCTCTGCTGGGGCCACCGGCAGGTGCGAACCCCATTCCTACCTTACCCAGGGCCATCCTATTTGTGCCGGTGGAAATACTATCTGCCCTTGTCCCTGCTTGTGTGGACAGTGTCATCATGGTTACTTGTGTCTGAAAAAGGGTGTTTGCCGGTTCCCTCAGATGTAGGGGAGAAGGGGAACCTGCTGGCGGTGGGACAGAAACAGCGTCTGGCCATTGCTCGGGCCCTTGTGCGGGACCCACGTGTCCTCATCCTGGACGAAGCCACCAGTGCCCTGGACGTCCAGTGTGAGCGGGCTGTGAGTACTGGGGCAGAGAACAGTGGGGCCTGGACCATCACATTTGAAGGACCAGCTTCTGCAGGACCAGGCAGTGAGGGGACAAGTGGCCCACTAGCAGAAGGAGTGTCTGCCTTTTTGGTGGTGGGAAGTGGAATGGAGAATGTGGTGCTGTGGGGACAGTTCCACATGGGCATCCCTGCCTTAACCACCCGCCAGCTGCCACCGTGCAGCGGGAGGAGGGCGGTGCAGCCCTTTATCTTCCCCTCTCCTACCTTCTCTTGTTTCACACCTTCTGAACCCTAAACAAGAAGGTGGGCCAGTGAGGGTGTGGTGTCCATCCTGTTCTCTCTTCCTGAGGCACTATAGCCCTCCCGCTTCCCTCTTCAGCTGCAGGACTGGCAATCCCGTGGGGACCGGACGATGCTGGTGATCGCACACAGGATGCAGACCATCCAGAGAGCTGACCAGGTCCTGGTGCTCAGGCAGGGACAGCTGCTGGAGCGCACCCAGCTCATGGCGGGACAGGACCTCTATTCCCGCCTGGTGCAGCAGCAGCTGGAGGACTGAGGCCCTGGACACTGGCCCTTCTCATGGCCGTCTTCCTGACCCAGCAGCTCCGCTCTGAGCTTCCCTGGGGCTGTGCCTCTGGGTACTTGGTTGTTCTGTGATGGAGATTTGGACCATGCGAGCCTTTGTCCATGGGGAGAGGGGGTTGCCATCTGTGTCCAAGGAAGGACCTTCCTTCCTTAGTGAACAGAGCTGTGCCTGGTGCTGAGTAGTGTACTGTGCATAATAAATGTACTTTAAAACACTTTTGCTTATTACCCGTATTTTTCAGACTATAAGATGCACCTTCCCCCCAAATTTGGGAGGAAAAGGGTACATCTTATAGTCCAAATGTAGCTCATCCAGCTTTCTGTGAAATATTATGTTATTTATGTAATTAAATATTTTACCACCTTTTTTGCTTCAAAACATTTTTTCCTATTTTCCTCCTTTAAAACCTAGGTGCGTCTTATGGTCCCAAAACACGGTATATAAATAGCACACATTCGTACAGAGAAGCAAATTTAACTTTTGTTTCACTTCCCAGAGATATCACGGTTACTATTTTGCTGGCTATCCTATTAGTCTTTTATCTGTTGTCTGAGTACAATATTAGCCAGTTTGACATGAATATTGATGAGGTTGCCTTTCTGTACCCTTCCCCATTCCCAACAGTGTCTTATATTTGGGAGCTAGGGTGTGGAAGGGCAAAATATAGTTTCATAATTAAGTGTTAATAAAAATCGATAATAGGCCCTTGCTGGGTAGGTCATTTAGTTAGAGCGTCTTACCCATATGCCAAGGTTTTAGGTTTGATCCCCAGTCAGGGCACATACAAGAATTCACCAACAAATGCATAAATAAGTGGAACAACAAATTGATGTTTCTATCTCTCTCTTCCTCTCCCTAAAAAATAAAATTAAAAAAGTGATAATAATTGCCCTAGCTGGTGTAGCTCAGTGGATTGAGCGTGGGCCTATGAACAAAGGATCACAGTTCAATTCCCAGTCAGGGCACATGCCTGGGTTGCAGGCCACTTCCCTGCAGGGGATGCACAAGAGGCAAACATACTTTGATGTTTTTCTCCCTCTCTCCTTCCCTTCCCCTCTAAAGATAAATAAATAAAATCTTTAAAAAAAGATTTTAAAGCTATATGATACCTTTATAATAGCTTTATAAAGCTACTGTTTATAGAGTTTAACTTGAGTGAGAACTATGCTAGGCGTTTTTTGTGTATTACCATTTTGTGTCCTTAATTGTAGAAAGTTGATTGTTATTAACCCCATTATATAGATGAGGAAACTGAGTCTCAAAGAGATTAAATAACTTCCCCAAGGTTACACAGTGGGAGAGCTGGAGTTTGAATCCAGGCCTGACCTCAGAGTCCACACTAGGCCATATATCATAATAATCTGACTATCTGGCACAGGGCTCAATTCATAGTAGACAATAATAAATGTTGGATAAATGAATAAATCTCCTTCTACTGTCCTCATTCTTAACCCTCCTTTCATGTACCAACCAATGAAAATCCAAAGCTGTACACCTAACTGGTTACAGGGTTGGACTTACTATCAAAGATTCCTATTCTAGGAACAGAAACTCCACGTTCCCAGAAATAGCAGGTACTTTCCAGCGCTAGCAATGAACTAGCCAGAGCTGCCGCTGTGTGGGGTTTTGTTCTGCCTGGCAACCAGGCAGCAGGATCAGAAGCTCCTTATGCACAGAAGCCTTTGCTTCATCCTGCTTGCACCCTGCAGCTCCGCGTCTCTGTCTCTCAGCTGTCACACAGGTGAAATACACCTTTGGAGAGGGGCAGGGCTTGCCTGGTTCCTTCCCCTTCCCACCAAATGTCCTTCCTGTATTTATACGGTGAGAATTACAATTCCTGTATCTCCCAACCATGGAAACTATGTAGTCCTCGTGGGAGATGATCTGTTAAAATTCTGTGACACCCTCAGCACATTTACACCCCCAGACTTAGAATCCTTTCAACCCGGAAGGCCTCATAAAAATAATAAAGCAAGCAGTCAAATCTTACGTTGTAGAAAAGGACAGTGGCCTGAAATGACACAGCTAATTAGTTGGTACTAGAGCTGGGAGGAAAAGTTGGGCATCGATGGCAGTGCAGGAAGACGCAGCAGACCTTGGGGTCTTGAAATGTCCCCCAACTCTGTCATCTCGGGAGAAACTGCCAGGTACACCTCATGTCAGGGACCCAGAAAAATGTTTCCCGACAGTCAAGGTGGTCAGCCTTCACAGACAAACCCTACAGGTGTGGTCTATCTGTAACCACCAGCGTTAGTGATGCTGTTGTCCCAGAGTTCTAGTTCTTCTCAATCACCCCCCCCATCCCCATTACACCACTGGATTTTCTCTTACTTTTGCCACTAACATTCAGTATCTTCCTCGCTCACTCATGTTTTATTTTTTCCAAAGGAAAATATGAATGGAAAGGAGTAAACTTAAGAAACTCTCATTTCTTTGTAGCCCCAAACACCCCCACCTCATCTGCTCTGCTTGGTCTTGAATTTCAAGTCCTTTGCGCCCTAGCAGAGTAGGGTAGCCACCAAATGGCAGGGGTGAATCAAGAAGAGAAAGAGTGGAGTTGTCGGAATTTGGGGGAAAGAAAGGCCTTAGGGAGTAAAGAAAATAAGTATCTCCCCTGTTTTGGGTGCTCAGTGAGTGAAAGGAACACCATTTATTTGAGTCTGATGCCATCTAGCGGTTCTAGGAAATCCTGGGTTTTCTACCTAGAGTCTTAATGGACTTGCGAACTTTAATAATTCAATAACAATCGTTTACTGAGTCCTTCCTGTGTGCTACTGCTGTGCTAAGTGCCTGACTATATCGTCTTATTTTATCTTGAAGGTAATTCTATGTGGCAGGTATTGCTGCCCCCAATTCTGGGAATGAGAAAAATGAAAATTTAGACACGTGACGAACTTGCCTGGGTCACAGACTAGGAAAAAGTGACCTCTGCCCAACTTTACAACCAAACTCTTCAAAACAGTTGCCTATAACTCCTGCATCCACTTACCCTCCTATTGTTCTCTTTTTTAAAAGAAGTAATTTGTTCCAATAGGCAATATATTAATGTGGTACAGAATTTAAGACACAAAAGGGTGTACAGAAGAAAGTCTCACTGCCATCCTTCTCCACAGTGTGCCAACACCCCCTGAGAGGTAATCCATGCTTGGAGCTTTATGGTATCCTTCCAGAGAAATTTAATGTGTATTTAATTATATATGTGTGTATACGCTTGCATTCTATTTTTACACGTAGCAACTCCCTGAATTCCTTGTTCTGAGCTTAACTTTTTAGATTTTAGAAATACATTTTTTAAAAAAAGTAGTAGTACTGTACTTCATTTAACCTGTCGCTTACTATTGATGAATAGTTAGGCTATTGGAAAATTTTCACTCTTATAAGTAATGTCTTGCATAGACTTTGTAAAACACAATGTGCAAGAAATTCACAACAGTGAGACCCTGATGGGGGAGTCGCTGAGTCCAAGTGTACTATATACATATTTTTTTAGGTTTTATTTATTTTTAGACAGAGAGAAAGGGAAGGAGAAAGAGAGGGGGAGAAACATCGATGTGTGGTTGCTTCTCATATGCCCTCTATGGGGGACCTGGCTCTCAGCCACACCAGCCAGGGCCAAGTGTACTATGTTAGTAATATTGACAGATACTGCAGAATTGCCCTCCTAGAGATTGTACGACTGCACAGTTCCATCAGCAATATGAGGTTTTCTGTCTCCCCACATCCTCACCAACAGTTTTGCTAACTTTTTAGATTTTTCCAGTCTTCTGGATAAAAAGTAGCATCATACTGTAGTTGTCACTTGATTTTCTTTTATTACAACTTAAGAACTTGGAGGGAAAAATTAAGATCCAAGCAGCAAAGATGAAAAACACACACAGACACAACAACAAACAGCAGCGATGACTAACCTGTCTGACGTTGGCAAATTAAACTGCAAAATGAGAAATGACTGTGACTATAAAAATCACTAGCAATAATGACTGGTAAATTTAAGAACAAGAGGGACAAATCACAAATGACATGAGAATGAGGCAGTAAAGTAAAAGTGTTATAAAGTTTTTGTCTTATTTGGAAGGAGGGGAGAGGTATCGATGAACTTGAGTCAATTGTTGTCAAGTTGTCATGGTAAAAGTGCAGGGGTAACTCTTAACTAATTGGATGTAAAACCCCTAAGCCAGTAGGAGGACATTAGAGATTACTTAAACATTTAATTAATTTAATATAAATCATGAAAGGAGGAAAAAAGAAGCAAAGAAAGAACATAAAATAAAAAGCAAAATGTATGATAATGAAAACAAATCCAGAAAACTTGGTAATCACAATAAATGTAAATAGCTTAAATTTAGGAGTTAAAAAATTCTCAGATTGTATTAATAATATCACCAAGTCCAGTTATATGCTCTTCACATGAGTCACAAAAAATACCCTAAAGACATGGAAAGGTTAAAATAAAACATTTAATATGATATACAACACTAACAATAACAGAGGACAGCTTGTGAAGTCACACTGATATTTAGAAAGATAGTTTAATGCCCTGGCTGGTGTGGCTCAGTGGATCGAGCGCCAGCCTGCAAACCAAAAGGTCACTGGTTGGTTTCCCAAGTCAGGGCACATGCCTGGGCTGCTGGCTGGATCCCGAGATGAGGGAGCGTGAGAAGCAACCACACATTGATGTTCCTCTCTTTCTCCCTCCTTTTCTGCAAAAAATAAATGAATAAAGTCTTAAAAATAAATAAAATAAATGTAGTCTAAGAGCAAAGCAATTGTAGAGACAAAGGTGATCATTGCATGATGATGACAAGAAGTCACCAGAACATTATACAAGTGTATATCAAAGTTTCTTCATTGAAAGTAGAGAGCACAACTTTTCAAGTTCCAACAAAACAAAATAAAAGGAGACCACTTTGGCCCTGGCTGGCTTGGGTCAGTAGATTGAGCACTGCCTGCAAACTGAAAGGTTGCCTGTTCGATTCCCAGTCAGGGCATGTGCCTGGGCTATGGGCCAGGACCCCTGTTGGGGGCATGGGACAGGCAACCGATCTATTATTTTCTGTACATTGATGTTTCTCTTCTCTCTTTCTGCCTCCCTTCCCTTCTCTCTAAAAGTAAATAAATATAATCTTTAAAAAATAGACCAGTTTTCATGGCACAAAAACTTCAATAAATTCCTAAAAGTAGGAATGATATAGGTACTATTCTCTGACCATAATG